CACATTCAGCTGAGAATGGAACACATTCAACACACAACATATCCAAATGTGCAGCACATAGAAATTATTATATAAATTTAAAATAATTCATAACTGGCATATTTCATAATTATCAAATACTATGGTATTCGCTAAATTACATTGTTAAGCAATACCGGCAGAAACTTCTTTATATTCGTCTTTAATTTGTTGCCTACGTTGCTAACAAGATTTTCAAAACATTCAAGACATTTGAATATCTTCATTTCTAATTATTATTTATATTATTTTCTTCTAGTACAAATTCTGGTCATATTTTGCGCCAAAACGCAATTTAAACATTTAGGAACATATTTTTCATACATTTTTTAATAAAACTTATAGTCATTACTATGAAACTATTCCATAAAATACTAAAAAACAAATTTGAAACATTTATTTTTTAATGTCCGCAGAAATTTAAATAAATATTTACAAATTATATCATTTATGTAATATTTGCAATAAATTATGTTTGTAATTAATATTAGTTATTTTGATTTGTTTTATATTTAAACTAGTAAACTATTAAAAATTTGTAAAGTAATTTAAAATTTTTAATGTGCCTGTAATAATTCTCGGAATTTTAATACTTGCGTTGTTGTACTATATTATAAATACGATTTGTTCCAGTTCAGTGAATTCAATTTAAAAGAATGCATGTTGATTGAAGTTTACGAAAGCCCGAAAAAATAATAAATAAGCAACGTGGGTAGGTTTTACGCTTATTCTATCTATAGACGTTTGCAATTCGGGTTTCAGTAAACAATTTTTACGAGTTTAGGAATGGCGCACGTTCTGCGCGGACGTGATTTAATAAAAGTCTGAGAAGCGGTTGCTCTCACGACAACCATTTACGACCAATTAAGAGAACCATTCTTCTTTGGCCCGGACGAAGCAGTTTTCATTACAAGGCGAACTTTAAACGGAGGAATAATTACGGAAAACGGAATACAGTAGGTGTATGGCGACACTGATGCCTCCTCAACAATTATAAACTTATTACAGCGTTCACAATATTCGTGATATTTTTCGAGAACTACTTAGTTCCGGCAGCGTTCTTCTCTTAATATCCTCAAAGCCCCGAAGCAATTAAAATAATCCGTTGGCATACGTTGTTCCAACTACGTGCGTTCAAATGCTGTGAGAGAATTTGTTTTGTACGGCTTTCTGTTTGAAGGCGGGATAAAACAAGAGAAAGAGAAATAAATAATATGTGTGTATAAGAGAGAAATAAGGATAGAACAACCAATAGGCAAGGCAATATTGGAGTGAACAAAAAATCGTAATAATAAGGTGAAACGTTTTGTTAGGATTAATCCTCGGTCATACCTCACCTATAATTACTCGATACAGAATGTTATCTTATGCTTGTATCGACGTTTTTTGTTGCCGATCTTAATTAAGATTGAGACAAGGTCCCATTCGGGGAGAAAACATGGCTTTGGCGTGTATAGATTATTTAGGAATATATTACCTGTTTTTCTTGTTATCCCACCGTATGCAAAGACTTTCTTATTGAAATTGCCTTTGCTACGCTTTATGTTTATCTTGGCTTATCATTTTCTTACGCTTACATGTGATTCGTAATCAATAAAAACGTAACCTACATGCATAATAGTATACAATGTATACAGGAGTAAATCGTTCTTATTAAATGTACTAAAAAAATGTAATTCTGAAATCTATAAAATATTATTTTGAGAGATCGCTTAACACTTTTTTCTCTCTAATTGTTACTTCTGAGGGTGCTCTTTTTACTTGCAAAAGCACCCAATTAATATTTGCCTTTGTGCCCTATGCAAGAATGTTAGGGGCCCACAAAAATAAATAGAAATAGTATTACAACTTAACATTGTTAAGTTTTAATGAACAAAGATTGCCTATTACAATCTTAATACGAACCTAATCTCAAAGTATGAAGGTCCATCGGTCTTGTACTATGAAATTTTATTTCATAATAAATAGCAATATCTCTTAAACGAAAGCATATCGTTAATTTATTATATTCTATATATATATAAGATTTATATATTTTGTTAGATTTGTTGTGAATTACAATCTGAAAGTACATCATTTAATTTATTGCTTGATGCAAACTAATTGATTAATTTCTTAAATTACAATCTGAATTTTCAAGATGAACATCGAAACATCAAATCTGTATATTACAATTTTTTACCATACGGCGCATGACATTAGAATGATGATCATATCCAACAGAATGAACTTTGTAAAGGTAATTTACAGTTTATTGTGAATAAAACATAGTAAATTTACATATTGTTTCCTGTATTTTCCTAAAATGCTTTTATTTATAGACATGATATAGTTATATACCATAATTAGGGGCGCAAAATTATGCGCTATAACACTTCCTATATCAGTAACTTCTTGCACCTTTTATATTTCAACAGAAGTTATAGCTGCATTTATTTGATCAACATTTTCCTTATTTAATAGATTATTTACTAACACCATCATGGTAGGTCTTTAGTAATTTGCATTTAGTAAAATTCAACTTGTTACATTTATTTTTTTTGTCATTTTTGTCTTAGGTGCTTCTTACCTTCATTAGAACCTGCTTCAAGTCTATCTTGAAAAAAGTAAGTCAGATCATTTTTATATTAAATGAATATCAACTCTACTTTTAAAAATACCTGAGAAAAGCCATGTAAACAAACATGCCAGATATAGACAGAACATTACTAAAAAGTTTACATTTTCCAAGATATATCTACCAGACTCAACTCAACCAGATATATGAATTTTTTATTTTTTAGCAAAATATAAATAATAATTTTTCAATCTCGATATTATTCATTTTCTTGTCTTGCAGTTCTAGTTTCAGAAAATCAACAGTATACCTCAAACATTTTCGCCTCGGAGTTTATCTTCATAAAAATTTGGTAATAATGGTAATATATTTATTTTCGTAGAACACGAACATACAGAAAAACCTCGATTAATACTAATTTGCCATAACGCGGTTTGCTGGAATCATTAAAAAAAAGCTCAAAATTTAACCGGATTCAAATTATGGCGGCATTGATCGTTGATTAAATTGTAGCGAAATTTTGACAGTGCAAAAGCAAGAAAAGAAGTTTTGGGTGCGATGTGTGTGCAAATGTTTGTGTCATGTAAAATGTTTGATTTAAAAATTATAATCATGAACGTAAAAAGTTCCATTCAATCCATAAAGTCTTTAATACTATCAAGAAATAAATTTTTAAAATTTCAAGTTATTGTTTACTTATTTTTTAAGTATTATTACTTATCGTAATAATATATATTAAGATGAAGAAATATTTACGAAATTAAATAGGCGAGGTATGTTTGCATAATCTCTCTATGTTAGGAATTGAATTATAGCCAAAAAAGTCTTTACAAATGTAAGAAAAACTATTTAAAACAAATGTGTTTTTTATTATTATTCGTGCCCAAATTTTAAGTTACGCCACTGGGTATTATCTTGCGATATGTTTACTCTCTTATACCATTAAAAGAAAAACGAGCATTAACAACAACGAACATTGACAATATTGAACTAAATGTTCAAAAATAAAACTTTATCAAATAAGTTCTAGGACAAGAGTAAGATAAAAAGAAGGTTTAAATACACTGTCGTTATTAATTTCTGTAAGTGCTCGTTCATAAAAAATTAATGCTATAAAAAATATTACATATGCTAATTTATTTTCAGAATATAAAATTATTATGTTGCAAGGAAACGTGTGTAATAAGTATTTTTGTTAAAAATGCATTATTTCATGTATTGCAACAAAAAGATCTAAGCATGTGTCAATTAGTTTTGACGTTGGATTATTAAGTGAATCCACGCAAATTCCCTCTCACACTTCAAACGAATGTGTAATCCATTCGAAATGGTATTTCTGAATTATCAGAAAATTGAATTGTGTCTGCGAAGTTCACGTCCATTTTACGGTTGCTCGAAGTAGGAGGGCTCGCACAAGAGAAGGAAGCAAACAAAGCAACGAGGAAGAAAGTATAAAAAAAGAAAGAAAGAACGAACGAAACGAGAAGTATGCACACACGTACGTACGTACACTAACGAAGGGTAGGCGGAGAACAAGAGAAGAAACAAAAGGGGGGAAATTAAAAACACGCGTTTTGTCGTCTTTCTAAATACAGGTAAAGTGAGTAGCGCGCGATGTGTGAGCGAGGCGGGTGCATGAATGAAGAACCGAAGCGACGCCCATGGGCGTGATCCATCCACCACGCCTCGCATTCATATAATAACTTCGCAAGGGGGAAACAACATCCAAAGAACGAAGATAAAAGAAGAGAGAGACAAGAGAATACAAAAAAAAACACGCATGCATACACACTAATATAACAACGAGGCAGGAAGGAAGGAGGAGTGTGCGAGCGAGAGAGGTGCTCGATGTTTTGGAATGAGAGAGGGGAGGTTTCGAACAAGGGAAAAGGATCGCGAGTTTATTTGGTGGCCGCCCGCCCAGGTGAAATAGCCGCTGTTTGCGTGTACAGAAGGGGGCGAAAGCGGCGCCGAGCCGACCGTGACTTTCTGTCATCGCAGCGTTTTTCGGAGGTGGTGGTGGGAGTTTCTGCCCCCGAAAAAAAAGGACGATTGCATACACGTACACACACAGACACACACGTAGAAAGGCGGCCAAGGAACGAGGAAAAAATGGCAGGATAAGAGCCGTTCGTCTGGCGTTGTCCTGTTTCTGCTGTTCCTCCTGCATTGTTTCGCGAGTCCAGTAGTCAGCCGTGTGTTGTCGGTCAGCATCGGTGAGAGAGTGCGAGTGTCAGTGCGTCAGTGAGCTTACCTCCGAGCGCACGCTTCGGACGACCACGTTTCTCTAAATCAATTACGGCCACAGAAGCGTGAAACCGATCGTGAGAACACGCCCTCCGCATAGTGGGAGCGACCAATCTCATCGCGCTAAAGCCGGTATCACACTAATCTTGTTAAATGTGAGTCGAAAGATTCTAAATATTCATTCTGTCAAAACATCTTGCTTCTGTTGTGGTGCTGCCGCGTGTCTCGCCACCACTCGCAGACGACGCACACCTTCCGATACAAGCGCGATGTTTGCCGCCAACCGCATCCGGATTGCCGCGTCCTCAGTTTCCGTTTAGCCCGGAAGTGATACTATACCCATACTCCAGTCACGTGCTTCTATCTCTCACTCACTTACTCATTCTATATATATTTCTCTTTCACACATACTGTGATCTCTTCACATCTCAAAAGCTCTCACCCATCCCGCTACCAGCAATCAATCTCTGTCACCACTCTGTGCAGTGACCAAAGGCGCGCTCTTGTGATATACTTGTGATTGACTGTGATGGTGAGCACCAGGTGATGGAAGACAATTGCACCATGAGGCCGTGCGCCACTGACTTTAGCATTGCTGCAATCATGTCTAGGCATGGACGAGCCAGAAACAAATGCCGCGACCCGCCGGATACCATTTCTCCTCTTGGTGAGCAAACCTAAAATTCATCTTATTTATACATCCTTAGTATAAAACTAATTCAGCTTATATAATTCAATACCAATAAATCAATTTTATGAAGAGTGTCTTAGGGTGTCATTCTTTATTATTTTTTACTTGATATAATGTTTGTAATACGACAAAATGTTTTGTTAAGAAGTTCATAATAGTAATATTAAAATAAATTGCCATATCAAAAATACAACACGAAGCCAATAAATTATGAAAATACGATTCAATACGGTTTATTAGAATGTAATTATATTTTTTCGTAGTTGGTAGAATGTACTATAAATAAATTATATGAAATATGATTAAAATCTTTTTCATTCTAATTCTATTCAAATCAACTATAAATTAGTTTTAAATATTAAATGCTCGTGAAATTAGAATGATTATAAAGCGTATTAAAATCGACTTTGATCGTCGATTATTTAATTTCTTTTTGTTTTCTAATTGGTGAAATTTTCAGAATAGTAATATTAAACTGAAACATAATATGAGATTAAAAATTACATTAAATAGATTCAAATCTTCACTTTATTACATTGGCATTCTATATATTGTTTTTGTTGTTTGTAAATTATTCAGGATGGAAAAATTAAACTCAAACAGCATGTACAAAATAAAACACGAAAGCAATAAATAAATAATATGAAATAGGATTGAAATAATTTTCAGCTTATTGGAGTGTCATTTTTTTCCATAGTTGGTAAAATGTTCAGGATATTAATATAAAACTAAAATAGTATATTTTAAGTACAACACGATGTCAATAAATAAATTACATGAAATTCGATTCGCTAATTTATGGTATTCCTATTCACGCTTTACGGCCGTTCAGCGCCACACGCATTTTAAAGCTACGTGTAATGACTCTCTAATTCATTTCACGTTTATTTTTTGGTTGAATCGCTAAATATGCGGTAATTTCAAATAATCACACGTAACTTTTAATTATAACCTAATATTTTACACAACAATCTATCATTTTTCTCAAAAAAACTCAAAGACATCAGTATTTAGCGCTTTGCATAATAGTTATTATCCAATAATTTCTATTACTATTCAGTGTCGGATTGCAAACAATACGTTAACATAATTATTGTCTTTTACAGGAAACTAAATTTGTATAATTAACTTTTCTATTATAATATTTCATTCAAGTTGTAATATTTGCCATGAATTTTATTTAAATGTTTGTAAAGTACAGAATAATATATAAGGGATGAGTACATAACTTATATTTACTGAAAGAACTAGTATTTATAAATAGTATATGTAATTAATGAGTTACTTTAAAAGAATATAAATTAATTAATTAATAAATATTGTAATGTATATTTGTGGAGCTTCACCAATTTGTAAAATTAACTCATAAAAATTCGATTACTTAAGTAAATGTGTATCTACCAGGTTCACACCTGAAGATACCGTGACAAGATTATAATTTTATACAGAAAAAATTATCACTTTTGATCGTGTTTAATGTGACATTTATTTATACTTTTATGTCACTTTATTTATGGATAAAACTACTTTTCATATTTGATTTTGCTTACATTGATTTTATATGAAAAATGTTAAAAATCAATAACATATTGAAATTGATGTCACATAATTAATTTAACAAGGAATATTAAACATTTAAATGACTTATGCACGAATTTGATTACATTAATTTATTTAGTTTGAATGGAATTTGGTAAATTAACCTTAATTAATTTAATTCTATTGCTTGTTTTTCATGTTTGGGTATATCAAACATTAACTAAGATTATGAAATATCCATAAATACCCATACCAATAAATATCCATAAATATGTTTAATTTTGGAATACAGTGAAACCTTGCTTAAAGTTTAATCCGTTCCAAAATTTCCGAATATTTACTCGTACAGTGAAATTACAAGTATAGTGAAACATTTAAAAATACACATAATATGTTTAAACAAGTTTTAAAAATTATGTAGTAGGCGCACAAACCGGGTCTTCTCTTCTCATCGTCATTTTTCTTACAATTAATTTTGCTCGTTAAGCGAGGTTCCACTGTACTAATCAATTTACTCTGTGTTTTCTTCAACAAGTTTGTTAATGATACACATATATATTTTCCTATTTATAAGCAACAAGTTTAAATGCTTTCTGATATTCTACATATATAGCCAATATATATAATAGAATTAACATTTTAAACTTCTCTTAAGAATTTGTGTTAAAAAGTAAAATATATCATAATATTATAGCAATTTATGATCAAGTATGTTAGTTAACCTTTATGAAAATTTACATAAAAATCACATGTAATCTTTTGTTCGAAATTTGAAAGTATTGTTCCTTGTGTTTCCAATTCAACGATTAAAGCGGAAAGAAAATGAGTTACGTGAATTATAGCAAAATTATTCTATTAAAGACTCGATGAATATTTATGCGAAATGCATTAATATTAATTTTAACGCCTTTTCATATAAATTATTAACATAGCTACTACAAAGTTTTTTTATGATTAATTTTTCATATATTGCCAAGTAATATTACATATTTGTGTACAATAAAATCCAGATCCATGCTAATTCCAAAAAAAAGCGGATGAATAGCGTAATAAATATTATGTAATATAATTTTAATTAATAATAAATTGCGATTGGTTTTGTAAATATAAACGATATTATAAACTTTATTAAAACTAACCGTGTACATTGTTAATTGATCTTGCCCAGTTCGTTATATTCGTACATTAATTTGCGTAGAATTAACGTCTGCAGTAAAAAAATATTTGTTATATTACCGCATATTTAACACACTTCATTGAACATTGATTGGAACATACTGATTTTATTTATTCTTGCAAATCAAAACGATTACGTTTTACAGGAAATCATGTAGTAATTTTAGTTAAAATTAAAATATTTAATATTAGAATAATTAAATATATCTAGAGAAATTGCAATACCACGCATAGTTTAGTTTAAAAGCTTAAAAACTAACTAAATTTTAATAAAATAAAATGGTCTATAATTCAAGTCTCTTTTTATGCTGTTTATTTTTATGTTCTCGATTAGTCCGGTTTCAGAATATGTGAGTTGTTAGTAATTCAAATAATAAAAGTGTCAGTTACTGATTTTAAATGTAGTCTAAATCATTAGATAAATCGATAAGTTATAGTTGAATACAAGCTTTTAAATGATCCTCTTGTTTCTCTGGTTCTCGTTCTACTGTAGTATCTCCACAACGAATATTTGAAGTGATCTGTTTGTGTGTGCGTTCGTGTTTATCGCAGCGTCAGTTTTAAAGATATTTAATGGTCCATTGAAAACATTCTCCGATCAAGTTTCTAATGATATAAATATTTACACGTACCGTACGTTTATGGCTAAGACGGTAGCTAAATGGCTATCGTAATGCCGTAAATAACGCACAAAATGTATGAACTATTTATAAAATTTATTGTATTGCAGCACCAAATCATACCGATGATTGTGATATCCCGTTTGTAAGATTGCCAAGTATTGTGCAAATATGATATACTCGTTTAGCGCTTTCTCGATTAACGCTAATTCGATATAATTTGGTCTACTAGAATCATAATAAACTCATGTTAATGTGACTTTGTTTAATAAACTAGTATTTCACTATTGATAGATCAGAATTTACGTTTTACAAATACGTAACAATACCTACAAATATAAAAAACAGATTGGACAGTTACAGAAAAATTCAAAAGATGGCGCTTCAAGATTTTGTACTTACCTCATTGTGAAACAGTAAAACGTGAAATATAACATTATAGGCTCGTGACTATAACATAACAATAAAAAAACATGTTTTAACATAAAAAAAATAAGTTGTACCACGTGACAAATTTTCATCTTCTTAGATTTTGTAAGTGTCTCTTGATAGATATTATTTCAGCAAATACATAAAATTTTCATTTTCATTAACAATAATTGTAAGAACTTATAAAGAAGAAATATAGAAAATCGTAACGAACAATGGCTAATTCAATGTATCCACATAGATTTTAATTTGTTCATCAATCTTTTGGTTTTATAATTTAGTATTGTATTTTATTACTTTATAAAATGAAATAATTAGTAATATTTGCTAACATATATGATTTTTGAGAGAAACATTTTTTAACACAAATAGCCACATACAAAAAGGTGTTGGATCTCACTGTTCTTCAGTTAGGATAACCTCTCAACAAAAACAGCATCCAAAATAAATGATGTTTGATTTAAAGTTAGTGAGTTTAATGTGTTTAAAATGTGTTGTCCAACATGTATATTTGTAGTGTTAAATATGAAGTTTATTTTATTGAATTTTGATTGAAATCTGTGTAACTCGTTTAAATCACAATGGAGTTATATGGGCCTATTAAACTACAATGTAAATAAATAGGGTGGGGAAGAAAACTGAAGTAGAAAGAGGATAAAAAAAAGTTGGAAAGCCAACCATTTGCGAGGCAGGAAAACTGGAACGTAAACGAATTTAAGCGTGTCCCGACACCGATGTTGAGTTTATTTATTTCTACTAGAGGCGGCCATAATAATGGAGAAAAATAGTGGCAAATGCGGGAAGGGAGATCACTCCTTCTCTCCCTTTCCCATCGTCGAAGTCTCTGTTCCGCACAGTCTCCTTAACCAAGCCGTGTGTTTTGTGTAGAAGTAGACAAACCGAATTTTACGGCCCGTACAAATCACTTAGTAGTAATCTCAGTTAGATCGAGCGTAAATTACGGGAAACAACATAAACACAGCCGCTTCAAATATTTACCAGGCCTCCGATCTCGTGTCGGAGCAAGGCCCCGTTTAAAACAACAAAGTTTCAGACGTCTATAATAGACATATCAAATTGTTTTAATATTTTCTCATTTGATGGCCAATCGACGAACGATGGATGGCCTTCACTGCTGCCACCCAACAATATATAGTTTAATTGTTTAACCATTCAATATGTTCACTTAGTGCATATAATTATGTAAGATCA